CAGAATTACATAAATGAGCCCAAAAAGCAATGTTGTATTTTATAGAGCAGATCATCACAGACAAACTGGGCTGCTTTTAAAAATTATTTTTTTCAGTTACATGGGAAAAAAAAATAAAGCCACAGCATGTAAAGAATATTTTATCTGTAGAGATATTAGTAAAATAGTCATTATGTTTTCCAAGACTTTTCCTTAGAATATGTATTTTGCATACCTAGTACGTGTCCATCCTATTGTTAATAAAAAGAAAAAAGTAAAAATATTTAAAGAACTGAAATCAAAGGCTCAGGAATGGATGTGTGGTTTCTTGGGTATTCACTAATTAATGATCCAAGCAAATGGACTAACAGATGAGGGATTAAATCCATGGAGGTGCCTGCATTCAGAGGTGCAGACAAGAAGAGATGTAGGAGACTACCTGGGAATGCGGGTCATCAGAGATACCAGCACAAAATTAAATGAAATCCTCTGCATGAAATGCTGACTAGGTTGTCTAAAAACGATCTTGGGAGCTGGTGAACCTGTGGAAGACAAAAGAATGCTAAAAGAGGCTGGAAAAATGGGTGGAAATCTGAGTAATCTGACATGACAGCCAAAAAAAAAAAAATGCGTTGCAGTGGTCGCCTCTGGATAAGGACAGAAAAGAAAGGAGACTCTCATCCCTTGAGAACAAAGAGTCTGAAGCATGTTTGTTTAAAAAAAACATATCTCCTGGTGGCTTCTCACTGCTGCTGCTGGATCTGGGTCAGGTGTGGGGCAGAACCTCAATTCAGGTGCAGGACTGTCCATAGCCACCATGGGCACTGAGCAGAGGAGCAGCTGGGAAAAGGGAGAGCCATCCATTCAGGTCACTGTGGTCATCTTCATGGCATCACCAGGACTTGTCAGGAGACAAGTCATCAAATGTTCTAAAAAGCCTTATTTTTAGCCTGGTAAATCTTGGTGGTTTTTTTTCCTTTGCTTTTGGGGGCTTGAATCTTTCAGGCTTGTGTTTTTTATTCTGGTTTTCTCTTTGATAGTGCACTGGAAAATCTCAGGTAGAAAATGAACAGGGGCAAGACAGAAAAATTTCCCATGTGCACATATGACAATAAGCATTGTGCTCTAGAAAATTCTAGAAAATATTACCAGAACTGGAAATTTGGCCTAGGATCAGGAGGAAGGCCTGCCCTCTAAGGTGCTGCAAACAGTAGGTATGCTTCCAAAAATGATCAGGAGGAAGTGGTTTTAAATAGATACACAGGTGAGACTTCTTTGTTGCTACTTTTCTTGGTTAGTCCATGCATTTGCAGATTTTTTCTGTAGTTTTGTATCATTGCATCTGTAGATGATAAAATAACTCTGGGGCAGATTTTTGAAGATGTGTGGATGTTTATGTTCTGTCTATGAGCATCCCCTTTTTTTAAACAAAAAAAAAAAAAGTAAAAAAAAAATCCCTTAGGCCAAGCTATTATGTTTCCTTCAGTCTTCACAAAACATTATCTTTGTTCTTCTAAATTATTGGCTTTTTAAAATGCATTGTATCACTCATATGTCAGACCTGGAAATAATGGCCAGTCAAGCACTTTTTCTAATTCACAAACATCTTTCTCATTTCCTCTACTTGAGGAAGGCATGTCACCAGATAGACTTTCAAGGTCATATCCATATCATTGTTTCTGCCAAACATGGGGTTTGTTTTTTTCACATGGTCACAACCCATGAAGGTGGCCTGGCTGCTATGAAGACTGCTAGTCTGTGGCCATACCGGCTCTTTGCCCTGTCTCACCTGATAAGGTGTTGATATTCAGGCAGTGCTGGCCAGACCTGCATCCCTGTGTTGTGATGCAAGAAAAGCAGGTCGGGGATGGTCCACAGCTGTCTCCCAGCATCAGCCCTCACTGGGAGCCAAAGTCACAGGCCTCTCCAGGCAAGAGGGATAAAGGAAATGGAACACAACCTGAGCTGCTGGGTACCAAATTGGCAACTTCATCAAACATTACTTTGATGATTACATTTGATTGCTGTTTACTTTTTTACCTGGGAGCTGGCTGCAGAAAGAGCAGATGGGTAGAGGCAGGGTGGGACTGGGAGAAGGCCATGCAAGCTGTTCCGATACGAGGCACATATCCCCATCAGCGACAGAGACATCTTGACCTTTGCTATTTTGTCAGAAGTCTTCTTTTTTCTTTACCACTGTCAGCTCAGTCTCAATATGCAGAGAAAACAGCTGAAGGATTGGAGAGACAGGTGTGGAGTGTTGGAATGTTTCTGCCTTTTTTATTTTTTTTTAAGGCTCTCATGTCCATCTTTTAAAGTGCTTTTCTACAGCAGCTGGAACTGAAGAGAGGGAGATAGGAGTCCCTCATTCCTAGGGCTGGGGCTTGCAGTAAGCATCTGAAACTGCAAAACTCACTCCACAGGGACTGGGAATCGGCCTCACTTGGGAAAACCCGTTCTATCAGTCTTTGAGATCAACTTGAGCTGTACCTGTGATACCAGTCTCAAAACCTTTTAGAAGCCCATTGGGTAAAATTTTGGTTTTTAACTGAATGAGTAGTGGCACTTTTAATGTTGTTAAAGCCAAGAGGACCACGTGCTTGTGTACCAGTTCCATTGCTTCAGACACCTCCCCTTGCCTCTCTTCCCTCAACTAACTCAGAGGTCACCACTGGCAATAATAGTAAAACCAAAGCAGAAATATGATTCTATTGATTAAAAAGATTTATAAGGTAACAGTGGAGACCCTTCTTTTTCTCCAGTGTGAATACTCTGATGAGTCTGAAGAACAAGTGAGCTGGCATTCATGCTCAGAAAATGAATCACAAGAATTGTTTGCATTGCGTTTTTTGGAGAAGGAATATTAAAATGCAAAGTTTGATTTATTAGCACTATGAGAAGTGTGCAGCCTAACAGAAGTCTGGTTTTTTATTAATAGTACATAGCAGTCAGTAGTAGTAGTAGTAGTAACAGAAGTTTGATTTTTTTTTTTTCTTTTTGGAAGTACTATGTTTAGCATCAGCAGCAAATAGATAAAAGCTTTCTGCAACTTGTTTCATTTATCACTAGAGAGCATTTGATGCCACTGCTTCCTCCATACAAAGTAAAAGCCTCAATAAAGCAATAATAAGCTTCCATAGTTATTACTGAATTGTAATGAATGTCTAAACAAACTCACAGATGTTTTTTAGTCTTTCATATAATATGGGTGTATCTTCTTTACTCCAGCCTAGCCCTTTAAGCATGAGCCATAATGATGATAAAGGGATTGAAGCATCTCTTTGTGGGGATGGGCTGAAAAGCTGTGAGTATCCAGCCTGGACCAGATCATCCAAGGGATCTTACTGATGTGTCTAAGTACATGATGACAGGGAATAAAGAAGATGGAGCCAGGCTTTTCTTACAGGCAGATAGTGGAAAAGCTTTTATATATTTTTTTATTTTTTTTCCTATGAGGGTGGCAAAGCACTGGTGCAGATTGCCCAGAGAGATTGTGGAGTCTCCATTCTTAGAGATACTGGAAATCAGACTGGACACTCGCTGTGGGCTCTTGCTGCCCTTGAGCTGGGTTAGGTGATTTCCAGAGTTTCCTGCCAAGCTCAGCTATTTTACATTTCAGTGGTATCTTTGATGCAGCAAATGGGGAGACTGTTCTGTGGTTATAAGGGCACTGATCATCCTGCACACTGAGCAGCTCAGAGTGAGAGCAGACCGTCTGCTTGTTTCTGCTGCAGAACTGAACAGCTATTAAATGATGGCTTTTGCTCACTAATGACATCAAATGGATTTTTAACATGTAAATGAAAAGAGGAAAGCAGAGTCACTTGTTATTTGCTATGGGTTTGCCTGAAGCAGATTTCCCATGTTAAAGCACTTAAAAGCAAATACAGAATTTATGATGTGTCGGTAGATTTTAAACCTGAATTACGTCCAGTTGTTGTAATGGCTAATAATGCAAATTATCTGAGTCATCCTCAGTGTAAAGCAGTAAATATAACCTGCACATTCAGATACACTTTGGGTTTTTTTTGTTTTTTTTTTTTCCTCTCCCCTTTCTCATTAATATTTTATCTCCCTGAAGAGATGTTTTCAACATATTATGTGCACCAGCATACTGTGCTTGTGGTATTCCTGGATGTCATTACAAAGAAGCCTGAAGACTGTACTGCTGCTCCTCTGCCTGTGACGCTAGGTTGGAAATTGCTTGGAGCAACAACAGCAAGTGTCAACAGGGAGCTGTATTAATTATTTGGAATGTGTCTCTTAAGAGGAATCAACTGCTTTTATTGCAGAACGAATATTACTTGAAATGGGAAGGTTACTCTAACTGTTATCATAATCTGTGTGTCATTAACTTTCCATGTTTAGAAGAAGAGATTAACAACCCTGTAAATTGGTACAGTAAATAGATGAATTATAAAAAAAATGGGTTTATTATAAATAGAAGTTTTTTGATATAGTTACCTCCAAATTGCTGGAGAAGGATTGAGTCTTTAGCAACTGAGAAACTGCATGATGGTGTTGGGAACCAAAAAATCTCTCACTCATGTGAAAGCAATGCTGAGCTCTGAAAAATGATGTGTGTCTCCTGCAGGTGGGATAAACAGGTGGGATTGTGCTTCATACCATGCTTCCTTCAAAAATGGCTGTGACATAGGAATGTTTCCCTCTTAAAAGTGAGATTGACAGGTTGAATGGGTTTGTGTGAAATTGGGTTCTCTTCCATAGCATATGTACAGAGAGAGAACAGGTTTCCAGAGAACATGGTGTAAAGTATACGTAGTGGTGGTAAAGCAGGTGTAACTAAAGTTCACCACAGCGCCCGTGTCTGCAAGGAGAAAGTGAGAGATGGCAGTGGTTTCAGCTTGTTGCCAGGTGCCTCCACAAAATGGAAGCTCATTGTGAAAAACACGCAGAACGAATACTTGTGAAGCTGTTTTTAATCCAAATGCTGTGTATTTGACTATAGCCCTGATAGATCTCTAGGAAACAGCGGAACTAAACCACTTATTTGTCCACAGGGCAGGCTCACCATGGGCAGGTTTCCTACATTGCCCCACCGATCCACCTGGATTCGGATCTGGAGAGACCGCCATCCAAGGGTGAGTCCGTGGGACAGTCCCCATTCACTTGCATCCCAAACCAGCCACAGGCTTGGGTGGACATCACTCACTTGTTCACTGAGCCTCCATGGCCAAGCAGTCACCCTCCATCCAAGGACAGTCTGGGGAGCAAATTAATTCCAGCAGGAGAGATGTGCGTGAGATGCCCGTGTCCCACATGTCCCATTGCATAGCTTTGAACATCCCATCACTTCACAGGGTGGTTTGCTCTCCCCACTAGTTTACTCCTGCAGGGACAGGTACACCTTAGGTCCTGCCCTCTGTCTTGCACCTTTCCTTCCTAATGGCGGTGCAAAGGCACAGGGAGCTGATGGCAGAATGCAAAAGGGCAGATTTCAGCTGCCCTCAGGTGGGTAAAGGCTACAGAATGGGTTGTACGGTGGTTCAAGCCTGGATTCAGTCCTCACTGCTGTTGCTTGAGGGGTTTTTTTCTAGACTTGGTGAGGAGATGTTCATTATAGAGGATGATTCAAATTTTAGGTGGGCTGATTGCCCTTGGGAGCGATGCTAGTAGTCAGTATGTACAGAATAAGTTCAGAATAGCCCTGCTAAGACAGGTGCCTGTCTTGAATGGTGCAAATAAAGCAATATAAATGTGAGTCCTTGATTTCTCTGCCCCATTTGGAGGATCACACTTGCTGATCCCCCAGTGTTTGCCCCTGAGGTCTGGGGAAATGAGCAGGCATATGTGGTGGTACAGACTTCTTACACCTCTCTTTGCCCCTTTTGGTTAGGCTGGTCAATATTCAGGTATGACATGGAAGTAAATAGCTTGTTCTTCTTGGAATAGATAATAGCAAAGCAAAAATCATACAGGAATATGAAGGGGTATTTCTTGGTATTTCTTGGTCAACTCTGCAAGTGTATATGAACATCAAACCCCGGGAATGTTGTGGGATAAGAGAAGGGGAGGAAGAGAACAGCCGAAGTGTGCATGGAGATACTCTATACCTTAGGTTTGGGGGTTTTTTTCCCATTTTCCCACTCTTCAAAGGTGCTACAGTGGCAGAAAGAGTACCAAATTGACCTTTGTGGTGATGGTCACCATTCTGCCACAACACTGTAAGGCTCTTGCTGTGTGTTTGTGCCTGCACATGTTTCTCTAACTATTCTTAATTGAAAAATGCAAGGTGGAACCATGTGCTGGGTGGTGTGAGGACGCCAGATTCACAGTCCTCTCTCCAAATCTGGTCTTGCCATGACTCAGGCTGGTTGTGTACAATCTCCTGCCAGTCCACAACCTCCATTCAGCTTTAAGTGAACTACCCTGGGATTTGGCATGTGCATTTGAGATCGTCAGCTTCTTCTAAGTCATTTGAAAACTTCCAGTTCTGTGGTAAAATTTACTACCTGGCTTTTATAGCAGAGCACTCTAGTGAGGCAGAGATGGTTATGACTTGCAGGACCTTCTGTCATTGTGGTGATGAATCAGAGCTTACTTAGAATAGGTCAGTGTAAATCCTTGCCTTGGCATCTGAACAGACTGTAGAAGATTGAAGGATGCTGGAAGCAGCAGAGAGAGAACCTATGTCTTGCTTTCTCCAAGCTGAAAGAGCTCAAGACTAACAAAAACTCTTCAGTGATCTGCCGTTCACGAGGGCAGAGCCACCTCAGCAAGATAAATGGCAGTGCCACCGGAGCAGGGCAAAGTGGGTCAGGCAGAACAGTTGCAGTGCTTGCAGAGAGGGTAAAATAGAGTTTATCCAACGTGAACTGCTACACTGACGGCTTTCACCAGGGCCTCCACCCCCCTAGCTGAGAGATCTTAAAGAAGAAGCTGCTCATGGTGGAAGGAGTCATACTACTGCTGCTGTGTACTGGTAAAAGGACTTGAATACTCTTGTGTAACTTAATAGGAGAGGGACAGAGAGAAAGCCAGCTCTGGAGGCATCAATCTATTAGCTGGTGACTAGGGACTGTTAAAAACACAGTAATTGATACTGTCTCCTGGGGAAGAGCAAGGCTTTCCTCTGGCCCTGGGATGTGGGATATGTAGCTCTGTCACTCCCAGTCTCAGCATCCAAAATCCATTAGAATATTGTAATTTTTAATTTTTTTTTTCCTTCAGTATATTAGGCTTAAGATTCCTTTTTGTTTGTCTGCTTTTTCTGACGCCTTAGGGCATCCTTGGGTTATGTTCCAAGCTTCATCCCATAACCACAAGAGCTGTTTTAAAGGAGTCAAAAGCACCTGTCCTTAAGCCTGTATTCCTCTACATTTCCTGTAGCTGGATCTCTAAAACCAGAGCAGCATTATGACAGTCAGTGTAAACCACTAATGCTTCTGGCTAGTCCTTCGATGCTCTTCATTTCCCCTCATGCTTCCCCTTGCACTAAGCTGAACACCAGGTGCAGGCCAGCCTTGCACTTAGAGTGGCAAAAAGAAGCAGCCACCATACAGTTTTAATTGTAATAAATGGAAACAGAACTGGGGTAGGATGCTTTAAGACAAACGTATTTCCTTCCTGTGTTATCAAGAAAAGATACAGCTTTAGTGCTCCTGTGAGTCTATGTAGTTGCAATTCTCAGCTGACAGATTTATTTGTAACTGCCTCTTCCTTCTCCTTTTTAAAAATTTTATCACTGGTGACATTTACACACATTGTTTATGCATGCAGGGGATTTTTACCTGCCTTTCAGAGTCCTGACGCTGGTGGTGAATAGAGTATAAACTGCAGTAGTTTACTAGTGCATTAGTGTCAGTGTGCATTACAGGGTAATTACTCTGAGCCACTGCTCTGTGCAGCCACCCAGTAATGACACTGTACATCACTGAATAGAAATGAAGCCTTGAATCAGCATTTTTCATCAAGACACTTCTCAGTCCCCACCCGCTTTTTAATTTGAGGCTGTTGTAAAATTAGTTCCATATTTGAAGCACTGTTAACTACTATTTTTACACCTCATTTCAATCCAACAATTTGGATGTGACTACATTATTTTTATGCAAGTGTTTACACCTTCTTTGTACAGAATAAGTCCAGGCATAGCTGAGGTTGTGGTATCATAGACTGAAGGTTAAACCTGTGTTTAAAAATGGGTCACTGACAATAGCAAGGAGTTTCATAGATGAGAGTGACACTGATACTCTGGCTTAGAAAGGGATTTAATAGAATTATCATATATAGCAATAAGTTAAATGTTTATACTCAAATTCTGCTAGGTACTAAAACACAGTAAAGAAGTGAATTAAACACACCAAATATGTGCACTAAAACTATTTATAAAGTTGTGTAGAAGCAGATTTTATCGTATATGTGGAATCATTTTAAACCTGGAATGTATGCCTGGCATTTAAAGCTAGACAGCCTGAGAAACTCTCCTGCCCTGTTGAGCTGATGTTTTGTAAAGGTTTCCTTCTAAGTTGAAGTCCAGAGGGTAGTCATCTTGGAGATTGATATGCTTGAAGTCAGTACATTTCCTAAGGATTAACTGATAAGCTAAACTCTGTACTGGTCTGCAGTTCTAGAAATAAATAGCAAATAAAGGAGGCACAGGAAGTGCTTACCCTTCTGTGCAGATTTCTCTAGCCAGGGAGGTTGTTATGGCACCGTGTTAAGGCACTGTGGGAGGTTTTCCTGTAAACCTCAGTTATCAGATTCATGTGCCATAAACACAGAATCTGGCCCTGGTCCTTACCACATCAAGGAGACAGAGGTTTTGCTGGCTTTGCACCTTTCTTTTCCATCTTAGTGGAAGATGACCCTTTGTGCTTTCTTTCTTCAAAACCTGGATCATTCTGCCATTCTTTTCCTCTCCTTTGCATCTGCACTCTCTGTGGGAGAACTTTCCCTGAACAGCAGAACACAGTGAAATCTTATAACAAAAAAATAGACTAGGCTTTTTGTGAGTATGCATTCTGGGCCTTATTTATTTTTTCCCTCCCAAAGGTCCCGAGAGGGTCGATGGCTTTGCAGACGATGTAGGAGGATCTGACAGCTGGGCTTATTGCACAGCCCCAGTTCTCCTTCCCAGGTCCAGAGGAAGGGGAGTGCTGGGCAGCGAGGCCCAGTGGCACTCCTTGCCTTAATTCGAGCTGACACGTGGGGTCACGTATCCCATGCTCACCAAGCCCTGAGACACCAGCTTGCCTGCCTCTCCCTCCCCAAGTCCAGCACTATGAGAGAGCTGCTGTGCAGGACTCTCTGCTGCAAGCCAGTGGTGGCCAGGCACCTTCTGTTTCCAGGCTTTTTCATCTTCTGCTGGAGTCCCCCTGGGGAAGGCATTCTCTCAGCTCAGGAGTCCTTTACAGTGTCCCTCTGCTGCTCTCAGAGGTCCTGCTTTTACTGAACCTGCTCCTTCTGAGTTACCTATATATTTACAGCTTCTTAAGGCAATATTATTTTCCTCACATAGCCTCTCCAGGGGAGAGGCTAATTTAATGCCTTTAAGCCAAGAAGGAATCATGCAGTGAATGCTGTTTGGAGTCTGCTATGCTCAGGACCCTCATTCCCTTTTCCCTATGCAATTCTGGGATGCCGTGCTGCGTCCTGATCTTTCTTGGTCATGTACTTTGGTTTTGCTCAGCCTTTTTTCAGGGATGGCATCTCTCAGGGCTTCCCCTTTGTGGCTGCCCTAAGGCCACTAGAGCATCCCCCTCACTCCAGCATGGGGTGAGTGCTCATTGCAGCAAGCCAGCACTATTCTGTTATCCCAGGTGGCTTTTAGGAAAGCAGTGTGTAAGGGGCATGCAGGTAACTGGTGTTGCCCCAGCTGTGTGGAAGGGAGGTGTGACTGTCACCACACCTGCACCAGCAGTGGAAAGTTTTGGAAATGACTACAAGCCTCGTGTGTACTGTGAATTTGCAGCTGCCTTGTTTCAAACTCTCTTCTTGAATCTGTCTACAGAGATTTGTTTGTTGTGTTCCTTTGCTGTTTGTTTGCTTTTCGTTTGAGTTCTGTTTTGTTGCTTGTTTTTTTCCCCTTGTGACAGGCAGCCTCATTCGAGGCTGGATATCCACGTTCAAACAGGCCAATGTT